CCCCAAAACCCCAAAACCCCAAAACCCCAAAACCCCAAAACCCCGAGATAGTATAAATTCATTGATTCGTCAAGTTAATAATAAGTTAATAGTATTCCAATGTTGACAGAAATTATGTCATGGTATGCCTTCTTCACTTGTTGAGTTGGCTTGAGTGCCAAATTCATAACTGCTCCTCTCAGAAAGGAAGATGGAAAGCACGTTGAGATGAGTAAAAAGGCTAAGACATATCAGTATCATGACTGGGTGTCTCTTTTGTACTCAGTATTACTCATTGGACTGTTTGCGATGATCTACAAAGATCATGGCTTTGAGCTCAACAGACCAGGAACAGAAATAGATAGACACATAATGATTCTTGGAGTGGCCTGGTACACCTTTGATTTGATTATCAAAGCTTATGCTGGAATCATCAACAGCTTTGTGACTGCCCATCACATCTTTACAGTGCTATCCATGTTAGGATGATATATCCGAAATGAAACACACGCATTTGGAGCTGTTGCTTTATTTATTAATGACGCATCAATGATTTGATTTGTCTTAAAAAGAACTTTTGAAAGGATGAACTTGGAGTTAGACGATGATAGGTTCAAGATAAACTTCATCAGCCTTACCATTAGCTTTGTGATTACTAGAGTCTGGGGCAACTTCTGGCTGCTCTATACTTATGCCGTGAGTATCGGAAATAATCCTCTGATAATTATTTTGAATTCTCCAACTGTTGCCTTTGGAGCTATAATATCTATTAAATTCCTGAGCAAGTTATGGAAGCATATCCCGGAATGGAGCTCCAACCCAGAGAGAGTTGAAGAGATGGCACTATGGAAGAACGTTAGAGTCATGTTCAAGACTTATAACAGCAGAGGGATGCTTAAGAAGTTGGTTGATTGCGCCATTTACATAGTCTCTGTTCTCACTCCGATCGCTCTTTCTATTTACTTCAGCTACTCTATAGGCGTGTCTGAAGATAATTAATTTGTTTCTAAAATTACGCTGAAATATTTTTTGAAAAATTCTGCATTAGTATCTGGACTTTTATCACTTTCTGGAAGGGATTTTAAATAATTGGATTAATAGTAATGAAGTTACATTTAGATGCACATAAAATTGGTTGAAATATCTATATTTCAAGACGAAATCTTATGGCAACCGAAAAAGCCAAAAAAGCTTGTAAAAATTTAAATTTGAACACTTCATTTCGATCTAGGGTATCACAGTGATCTCTTCATCCAGATTAAAGGTATGACGTAATTTTTAAACCCATTCTCACTCCAAATCCCCTATGTATTCTAATGTTAAACCCTCAGAACCCCCAGAATCCCCTCTCCACCTCCAAAGCACCTCTCTCACCCACATTTCCCTTCTTCAGTCCCCACTAGACGCCCTCTTCTTCCTCTCCCTTAAAAATCCTTCTTCCCCATCCATATTTCCCATTCTGGCCAGGCATCCTTACCTCGAATTCCATATAAAAATCAACCTAGCAATTCCAAAATGGGGTTTTGGGGTTTTGGGGTTTTGGGGTTTTGGGGTTTTGGGG